CCTGCCCCCCCCCCTTCCCCCCCCCCCCCCACTTACTCTCTTCCGTCTGCCTGTCCCAGCACCCACAGCAGGGCCATTAGTACTCACACCCATTTATGTTGGTGAGTGGATGGGCAGATGGCACAAAAGATCTGGGGGCACCTGACTGCGCCCTCTCCTGGTCATGGCCATGTCTACCCCACCCAGAGTAGGCAAGGAGAAGTGTCGTCCAGTGCTGGCCGGAGGTGGGGGCGGCCCTGCAGGCACACCCCTGCAGCATTCCTTCCTGACTGAGGTGACCGACGTCTATGAGATGGAGGGGGGACTGCTTAACCTGCTCAATGACTTCCACTCGGGCCGGCTGCAGGCCTTCGGTGAGTCCCGGGGCCGGACGAGAGGGCCTATGGGTGGCGCCGGAGGGCCTGGCTTCTAGGGCTCAGACGAAGGCTTCCCTCCAGGGAAGGAATGCTCCTTTGAGCAGTTGGAGCATGTTCGGGAGATGCAGGAGAAGCTGGCCAGGCTGCACTTCAGCCTGGACGTGTGTGGGGAGGAAGAGGAGGACGAAGAGGAAGAGGATGGGGTCGCTGAGGGACTGCCTGAGGAGCAGAAGAAGACGATGGCTGACCGCAACCTGGACCAGCTACTTAGCAACGTGCGTCACTGCTGGGCACTTCAGTTCTTGAGGGCACCCGGGGGGGGGGAAGCTACCTGTTCCCAAGGCCATTCCTGGGTGAAAAGATGGGGGTGCATGGATCCAAGAGCTCTGGGCCCCTCAGCCTCCCCCAGGAGATGGCCCTCAGTCACTGGGGCTGTGGCCTGGTGGCCCTCCTGACAGAAACTTCCCTTTCTCTCTTTGTTGACAGCTGGAAGATCTTAGTAATTCTATGTATCCTTTCCAAGGGACCTGACAATGTGTGTGTTTGTGTCCCCCAGAGATAAGGTCGGTTTCCTCCTCCATCATCTTTTTTTTTTTTTAAGAAGTAGAAGGAAGCAAAGTTTACTATTCACTCTCACAGACTGAAAAGGGGGTCAACACTCAGAGGAAAGTGTGGCAAATCTCGGTGGAACCTCCAAAAATGTTAGGGTCACACTCCCAGCAGGGCATCCAGAATGTTAGGTCAGGCCCATAGAGGGTGTGGGTGTCTGGTGTGCAGTCTGATGCTACATGAAGATGCAAAGAATTGCACAGAAGTTATTTTGGAAAATATAGTTTATTTAGAAAGTAAATTGGGGGGGGTTCTCCTCCCCAAGAGAGGGGAGGGGGCCAAAGAGAAAACATGGTCTGGCCATAGCTCAAAGAGCACATGGCCACACCATAGCTTAGCAAGGCAATGGCCCACCCTATTTGTCAGGGTTTCACTCTATCACCCAGGCTGGAGTGTAGTGACACACTCAAAGCTACTGCAGCCTCCACCTGCTAAGCTCAGGCAATCCTTCTGCCTCAGCCTTCCAAGTACCTGGAACTACAGGCACACACCACCATGCTCAGCTAATTTTTTGATTTATTGTAGAGATGAGGCCTCGCCAACTTACCCAAACTGGTCTCGAACCCATGGGCTCAAGCAATTCTCTCACCTTGGCTTCCCAAAGTGCTGGGATTATAGGTTTGAGCCACCACGCCTGGCCTAACTTTTTTATTTTTATTTACTTATTTTTTGAGAAAGCAGGATTCATCGAGAGGATAGAAAAGTTCCCACGGTGGGAGAGGACCCGAGGGGATTGCCCCTTTATTTTTTGTAGAGATGAGGTCTCACTATCTTGTCCAGGCTGGTCTTGGACTCCTGGGCTTAAGCAATTCGCCCACCTCGGTCTTCCAAAGTGCTGAGATTACAGGCGTGAGCCACTGTACCTGGCCCCTGCAGGAGTATTCCCACATAACCAACATCCCCACCTTTTGCAGTACTACAAATCAGAATCAGTCACAAACTGCTGGCACCCAGGTAGAGAAAATATAGTTTCCCAAATGCTAAGAGAACAGTGGTTGCAAGGAATGTTTGGAATGTTTGACCTACTGATCAAAATCTCTGCAATCACTTTAGCTGACACCAATCCATGGCAAAGCTTGTCTGAGGTCCTTCTACCCTTTTGCCACTGAACAATTAATTTTACTAATTTATTTATTTATTTTGAGTTGGAGTCTCATTCTGTCACCCAGGCTGGAGTGCAGTGGCATGTTCATGGCCACCATGGCCTCGACCTGCTGGGCTCAGGTGATCCTTCCTCCTCAGCCTTCCAAGAAGCTGGAACGACAGGCATGTGCCACCACACCAGGCTTATTTTTTTATTTATTGTAGAGACGAGGTCTCACCAAGTTGCCCAGGCTGGTCTCGCACCCCTGGACTCAGTTAATCCTCTCGCCTCGGTCTTCCAAAGTGTTGGGATTACAGGGTTGAGCCATTGCGCCCTGCCCTATTTTTAATTTAGATTACCACCCCATCTAGTCCTCAGGCAGAAACAGAGTGTGCACATGCGTACCCGTAACACACACACACAACCCCCACAGTCTGGCTCAGGGAGTTCATGTGACCTGCATCATCTGGATGAGGGTGGGTAAGTGACCCAGCTAGGAGGACAGGCAGGGACTGCGGTCTAAGACCACTGATGGCCCCAGAGAACCTCATCTTCGCTTTGCTCAGCTGGGGAAACTAAGGCCATGCAGGATGGGAAGATGGGTGGCAGGAAGATCGAAAGTGTCACAGTCCTTGACTGGCGCAGACAGAAGCTACACCTGGCCGAGAACGCCGAGCCTGAGGAGCAGTCAGCTGTGTAGGTGCTGGACCCGGGCCCAGGCTGCTGCACTCTCATCCCCTCCAAACTGTGATTTTCTACGGACTCGGGAGGGTGATCGGTCCGCGGCCCCCCAGGTGCTATGGGGGAGGGGGGCACTGGATGGAATTAAACCAGAGAGAAAGAAAGCGGCTCCGCGTGCTCCATCCGCTCCTCGCGTCTTCCTCTGCGGGAAGCCACGGCCTCGGCCTCCGCGGAGGCCGCCTCCCGGCGCACTTTCCTGTGGGAGGTCCGCTCTGCTGGTACTGAGTGCCCCACGCGGCTCGGGGAATGGGCGTCGGGGACTGGCGCCACACAACTGGGTCAGTCACGAGGACACCTCCAGCCGGGTCCCGGGGAAAGTTGCCGTGGAGACGGCGGGGCGGGGCCCTGCGCATGCGCAGGAGGGCGCCGGCTTAGGCCGTACTGCGCAGGCGCGTGGCGGGGCGGTTGGCGCCCGCATGGAGCGGGAGCTGTTGACTCCGAAGGTGTCGGCGATGCAGGTACGGGGTGGGCTTGGGTGCGCATGATTTTCACTTAGGGAGGCCACGGGGTCTCGTCCCGTCTCCTTCCAGCGAGAGGAGGCTATCAGTTCAGTCCCCTGCCAGCTTCTGGAGCAGCCGACCCTCCCCACTGCGCTGAAAAATGCCGGGACCCACGGACTTCTGCCCCATGGGACTGCCGCCACCACGCGTTCGGGCAGGATCCGTAATATAGCGGAATAACTTTAAAGCGAGGAGGAGGATCCAGCCCATCCTGTCTTCAGCCTGCCCCGCAGCGCTAGCACACAGTGCCCCCTATCCTTTCTCCGTGGCCGTCTGCGCTCCTGCCGCGGGAGAAGACCTGTCTAGGACAGTCCTCCAAGATGCCCTCTCTCACAGTGACACAGGACTTCTTTCCCTTCGTTCTCCACACCAGGCCTGCGTCCGGGGCTTCTTGGTTCGACGCCAGTTCCAGAGCCTGCGGGCTGAGTATGAGGCGATTGTACGAGAGATCGAGGGCGACTTGGGCCCCCTTCAGTGGACTGAGGGCCGAATTCCCAGGCCTCGATTTCTCTCTGAGGTAGTACACATCCCAGGGGGAAAAGGGAAAGGAAGGAGGGGTTTGAGCAGGGTAGAACCCACCTTTTCAAGTGACAAGCTTTTCTCACTGGAAGAGGCAGCTGACTCACCTCACACCCCATCCTTAATCCTCACCAACTTGTCTGCTAGATCATGGTGTCCAGGTGCTTGGATGGGCTTATCCCTGGGGCTCCCGTACTTCTCTTGATTTCTCAGAAAGCAAAATCCCAGCGGATCTGGAAAGCAGGAGAGAGGGCAGCAAATCCAGATCGGGAGCTGTGGAGCCACTTTCCCTGTAAAGAGTCGGAGAGAGAGGCCGTCTGGGAAGAGGTGGTGTTGAAGAAGTCAGGAGAGGGCTTAGTAAACCCAGGGAGTCTTCTCTGCAGAGATCACAGCCCCTGGCTTCAGGCTGAACAGAGCAGGAAACCCAGCCAAGAGAACACCACAGACACGACAAGGAGGGAAAATTCAGGTACCTCTCTGCCAAGATCAGGGCAGAGAAAAGGAAAAGGCTTGTACTAGACAAGCTGCATCCCTTTCCATCTTCTCTCTGCCTGACTGGAGGCGCCATATGGTTGAGCACTGGGGGGTGGAGATAGGGGTGTGGGTTTCAGGCAAGACCGGTCCCCAGGATCTACCTCCTGAAGGCTTTCTCCCTCTCTTCTTCCCTCCTGTTAAGAAGCCACAGGTCCCAGACTACTTCACAGCCAGCCCGACCTTCAGGAGCTCCAGTATCACCGCAGCCACTTGGCCATGGAACTGCTGTGGCTGCAGCAAGCCATCAATAGCCGTAAGGAGGTAGGCACTAATGGGGCATTCTTTCTGGACACTTAGGGCCAGGGTGGAGGATGGGGAGAGTCTTCCTGTTGTGCCCAAGCCGGCCTGCCTGGTATATATACAGTAGGTGTTTTCTTCTCTCCCCCATCAGTACCTAATTCTCAAACAAACACTGAGATCCCCAGAGGCAGGCCAGACCAGAGAGAAGCCCAGCATGTGCCTAGACCGTGGGGAACAAGCCTGTGAGAGGGGCTGGTCACAACCAAGCCCATCATCAGAGGACCAGCCCTACAAAGACAGGACCACTAGTACATGCGGATGACTTCTGTCAAAGGGTCGGATCGCCCCACAAATCCCCAGAAAATTTGGCTACTCTACAGAAAGCCATTGCTGGGCAAAGTGGAGGGAACCATGCTACAGGAGGACTGGACCACCATCAAACAGCTGTCTACACCATCAAACAGCAAGGCTAACAGGGGACAGACTTGTCAAAGGGTCAGACCATGGAGGACAGACCATGGAGCACCTGCCTACAGCAGATGAAACTCGTGGAGGACCAGACTCGTCTCAAACCTAGGGATCAGTGTTCCAGGAAGGCTGGGACATAGCTGCCTGTATTCTGTGAGGACCCAAATATTAAGAAGTCTCCCAGAAAGCGAGACTACAAAAAGCCTGACCAGAGAGCCAGGCCACAGATCTCTCAGAGGACCACGTCATTTGGGATGGGACTTTGGCAGGGCCAGAACATAGTGCCTTGAATCTCTGAAAGACTAAACTATCCAAGGGCCAGAACCCCAATTTTATAGAAGCTCTATAGATGAAACCTCCAACAAACCTAGTCACGAAGGCTGGAAAAACCAGAGGATTGTACCATGAAGCTTGAGGCTACCCAAGAACCTGTCTTCCACAGGGTCAGACTGTTCCGGAACAGGAAAGGACCGATGGGGGGCAGACCATGGAGGGCAAGACTACCCGACCAGACCTTGGGAAGCCAGGAGAGGACCAGTTTCCAAAGGGGAATGCCGTGAAAGAGCAATGAGGATGAGAGGGCCCCATCCTACACCCCTGGTCCAGCTCGACCTCCTGCTCTTGTCCCTGCCCACCAGTGGCAAGTGGGGCCAAGAGACACTGGAGTACAGAGCTGGCATGAGTATAGGGAGAAGGACAAAGGACGCCCTTGCTCTGCCTGAGGCCCAACCCAACTTTCTAGATAAGGAGTTACCTGGGGGAAGTGGAGTGGGAGGCCTGATGGACAATAAAGATTTTTCTTGTTTTCTGAGCCCAGCTACTTTCACCTTCCGCCACTGGCCAGGAGAGACTCTGGGCCCCCTGTTCACTTCCGACTGGCCTGGGGCGTCGACCTCAGCGCCAGCTGGGAGCTATGGCCTAGAAGCACATCTAGCCATCATCCTTACCCCCAAAGCTGATCTTGTTTGCTCAGTCCTTGGGCTTCACAGTGGCAAGGAGGCTCTGGAGAGTTCCAGAATGTCTGTGTTTTAAGTGTGATCTCTGCCATTTTTCCTTTCATTGAGCCCCAGGGTCTTCCTTCATGTAATGATCACACCTAGCCTGCTTTTGTAAGGCCCCATCCAGGCAGATCAGATGAAATGCTGGATGCATATTAATGCTCCTGCCAGAGGCTCCCCTGCCTTCCTGAGTGAGAGGGCAGGACTCTACCTCTGCTTGGCATTGCTCCCAGCCCTGCTTTGGTTGCCTGGCAGCAGCTCTGCGTCTCTGACTAAGGCCACACTATGGCAAGTGGCAGTCCAGCAGCCAAGAGAATAGTAGTATACCGGAATGGGGACCCCTTCTCCCCAGGCTCCAGGCTAGTGGTGACTCAACGCCGCTTTCCTACCATGGAAGCCTTCCTCTGCGAGGTGACATCAGCCGTGCAGGCCCCACTGGCTGTGCGTGCCCTCTACACACCTTGTCATGGCCACCCTGTCACTGATCTGGCAGACTTGCAGAACGGAGGGCAGTATGTGGCTGCTGGCTTCGAACGATTCCACAAGCTCCAGTGAGTGGGCTGGGGCTGGTCAGAGCCTGGGGAGTGGGGTTGATAGCAACAGCAAGAGCATGTATTCAGTACGTACCGTGTGTGTGCCAGGCATTTTATACATTTTCTGTTAACCCTATGAAGCGGGTGGTTGACCTTCATTAGTCAGAAAGGGAAAACAGACTGAAAACCTGCCTAAGGATACACAACAAATAGTTGAGCTGCAATTCCAGTGGAATTCTGTTACTAATGTTTATGCCCATCATGGTTAAGGCCAGCCTGTGGGAAGGAGACCACTCCTGCAGGTTGAGCCTTTTTCGAAAAGCTCATCTTGGCTGGGCCTCACACCTGTAATCCCAGCACTTTGGGAGGCTGAGGCAGGAGAATTGCTTGAGCCTAGGACTTGGAGACCACCAGCCTGGGCAAGACCTTGCCTCTATTAAATAAAGACAGCTTTTCTTCATTGGATCCCCTACCACTACCATCACCAAACACTCTCGATCCACCCATCGCATCCCTGCTGTATTTTGGCATCCCAAACCCTCCTTTAGGTTAGGATTCTCACCCATTGCAGGGTGGGGCTGTCTTCCCAGCTGAGAAGAATTTGAGTATCTGATCTTCCAACTCAGATCAGACTTCCCTGTCCTACTTTTTTTTTTTTTTTTTAAGTTGAAGTCTCTCTCTTGCCCAAGCTTGAGTGCAGTGGCATGCACACAACCACTGCAGCCTTGACCTCCTAGGCTCAGGCCATCCTTCCACCTCAGCCTTCCAACTAGCTGGAACTACAGGCATGCACCACCATTCCCGGCTTATTTTTTATTTATTGTAGAGATGAGGTCTCACCAAGTTGCCCAGCCTGGTTTCGAACCTGTGGGCTCAGGCAGTTCAGCATCCCAAAGTGTTGGGATTATAGGCCTGAACCACCACACCTGGCCATGTCCTACTCTTAGCTCTCAGCTGAGATTACCTAAAATTAAGCAAGGGGCAGGATGCAGAATCTAGACTTGGTTGCTTGCTCGCTTTTTTCTTTTTTTTTTTTTGAGTTGGAGTCTCACTCTGTTGCCCAGGCTGAAGTGTAGTGGCATGCTCACGGCCACCACAGCCTCGACCTGCTGGGCTCTGGTGATCTGCCTCAGCCTTCCAAGTAGCCGGAACTACAGGTGCGTGCTACCACTACTGACTAATTTTTGATACACTGAAGAGACGAGGTCTCACCAAGTTGCCTGGGTGGATCTCAAACTCGTGGGCTGAGGCAATCCACTTGCCTCGGCCTCCCCAAGTGCTGGGCGTGAGCCACTGTGCCTGGCCTCTTTTTTTTTTTTTTGAGTTGGAGTCT